TCAGCGGTGGGTCGCCATTCGCCTCGCCCGGGCCTATAGGACGACGTCGCATATGGCCGCCACGGCCCTGGCCGGTCTCCCCCCGCTGGAGCTCCTTGCACAAATGCACGCCGAGACCTATCGGCGTGTTAAGGAGCTCCGTGCCGGGAAGGACCACGAACACTTGGCCAGGGCCATAGGCATGGCCAAATTGCAGGCCCGTCAACGCCTCCTCCTTAGGTGGAACATCCACCTGGAGGAGGCGACGGGCCAATTGGGATCGAGGGTCGCCGAGGCCATCCGGCCCTGTCTACAAGAATGGGTAGACAGGGCCCGCGGAGAGAGGTCCTTCTGGACAACGCAGGTACTCACCGGACATGGATGCTTCGGTGGGTACCTGCACAGGATAGGTAGGGAGCCTAACTCCCGCTGCCACCACTGTGGCGATGAGGTGGACTCGGCGCAACACACCCAGGAGGAATGCCCCTCTTGGGTTGTGGAGCGCCGGGTCCTGACAGACGTAGTGGGAGCGGACCTCTCTCCCCCGGCCCTTATAAGGGCCATGCTTGGGGGAGAAGAGGGCTGGTCTGCCGTCACCTCCTTCTGCGACGCAGTCGTGTCGCAGAAGGAGGAGGCGGAGAGGGTGCGGCGGGGTGAAACTGCCGCACCCGGAGATGGGGCGAGGCGCCGTAGAAGGAGAGCGGCGCCTTGCCTGCCTGCGCATCAGCGCGGGGTAGAGGGGCGGCGCATTCGCGGGCGGAGGGGGGGACGCCACCGCTGGCGTCCCCACCCCCGGGGTACCCGCGCGTGCGCCGCAGCCCCCAACAATGCCGCTGGGCCCTCCTGATCAACGGAGGGCCCGGCGAGGGGGAGATAGGAGGCGCCGGGTTGGGCGGGGGAGACGCGCAGCGGGGCGCTACTCCCCCCCCCGTAACAAGAAGTCAGACCAGGCGCCTCCGGAAGGGGGGCAGGGCGGCCGGCTTGCAAGGGCGGGCTCTTAGGCCGCCCACCCCCCTCCCAGTGCCAGGAGGCTCCTGACCGGGAGGGACGGAGGGGAATTAAACCCCTCCGCCCCCCAGCTAACTCGGTCGGGAGCGTAGGGGTGGGCCGGGTCCGGACGGGACCGGACCCGGCCAATAACGCCCCTACAAGGTGAGGTGTGACCGGACGGGGGGGCCCA